AAAAACCACCAAAAAACCCCAAACCAAACAACTAAAAACCCGCAAGTGAATTCTGTCTTAAAAATTTCACTTTTTTCACTTGAAACACATTGCTTTGATATACTTCGGTTTTTTTCTTAAGAAATAATATCACATAAAAGGATATCCACTCAAGCTTTTTAACTGCATCACCTAAATACTTGATTCTGCAAACACTAATAGTTGTGTCTGCCTGAAGTCCCATCAATCAAAGTTACTAACTTGGAAGAATATGTATTTGGATCTACATACGTTTTCAGACTAGGATTTTTAAACACAAATTTTGGTAGACCAAAACAATGTATAAACTTGAAATGAAATCAGATAATGCTTTAAATTACATTTTTTAATAAAGAATATTTTTTTAAAAGTAAAACTATTAGATTTTAAAATTCTTAAAACATTTCAACTTTTCTTTTTCCAACTGGCATTTAGGTTTCAAAATAGAACATTTTTAAAAAGAGGAAAAAAGTCCCCCAGAAATGAACCAAAACAAACTAAATGGGTTCCTAAGGAAAGGAAACTGAGAAGTTTGTTATTAAAACTTTAGGACTGGGACTATTTCCATTTACTGCTACTGACAAAAGCCATCAGTAAATATCTTGATCTAGCCATTATTACAAGTGCAATACAAGAACACAGTTTCTAAGAGGGAATTCATTATTAATCATAAAAGGAAGTTGATTTCAAATCATGAGTGCCAGGAAAAGCAAGCTAGTTTTTAACAACTTTCCTCCTACAGAGATTACATGGTTGAGAGCTCAAATTTGCTAAACCCACACATTTGTAGAGAACTTTTACATGTGACCTGGTATGCAAAATACTGTTGCAATATGAATAAAACATAACTTTTGCAGAAACAGCTACTTTTTCCTGGATTTTTATGAAAACCAGAATATTTTTTGGAAGAAAGGATAACTATCAGAGTTTCCTGAAAAATAAGTTATCTGCTTCTACTTACAAAGAAAGGAAAATGAGGAAAGCAAATAACAGAAAACTCTGTCAGTTTACATGTAGTTAATGATTAGAAGTTCTAAGGTAATTACTTTTTCTTCCAAAGTGGTAATAAAAATTTTTAAGGTGTGGTTATTTCCAGTACATTAAGATCATTTAAAGTCAGGCAACCTTAGAGAGTAAAAGGAGTTTAAAAGGGTTGTAAATTTATATCGTCAGAATCATGTAAAGTTGTAATTGAATAAAAGACAACCTGGTTCTTTGAGATTATAGTTTGATGTTTCTAATATCTGCTTTCAGATTTTCCTTGCATCTGTCAAAGATTGAGATATCTTATTCAAACTCAAGAATCACACAAAAATTTAAATTTTGAAGATCATTATTTTCTTTTAATTTAACTTCTATACTGTATCTCTCAGCATTGTCACACTTGTATTTGTTTTATAAGAACTGCAAGAGTAGTACTGATCAGTAATCATTAATTTCCTATAGCTGGAAGCTACAGCTGCTGCAGAGGAAATCTGAAAGGTCAGTATGCCTCAGGGAGAGCATTAATGTCACTGAGGACTACAGGGAGAAACCAGCATCACAGCTAGAAGAGTCCCTGCAGCTGGTGAAGCCTGCTGACAAAGAGTCCCTTAGGGAGCATGATACAGAGTCTTTATTTGACCAGGGTCAGCACTTTCTGTCCAAAGGGAAAGCCAGCACTGCACCAGGAAATGAACAAGTCTGAAGCTTGACCACAAGGACCCTGCAGAGTCAGTGAAAACTTTGAGGAACCAGAGACTCCAGCAGAGGAATCCTGAGGGTCAGGGTCAGAGACAGGACTGGGGCTGGCCACTGGGTGAGGAGTCATAGCCCACACAACAGACACCTGCAGCCAGACCTGACAGAGAAAATATCAAAGAGCATCCTAAAGAAAAGGAGAACAAAAAGGAAGTGGGGGGTAAAAAAAAAAAAAAAAACAAAAATCTCAGAAAGAAAAAAGGAAACATTTTTATTCAGTTATTTAGATGCAAGACATGTTCTAATCTTAATTACATTAATTGTTCCAAAGGTTGAACTGTACTACAAACCTGTACTTTTATGAGTTATTTTTCAATCTATAAATTTTCTGAAACACAATTCCAGCTGTATAGATAAAAACAATCATAAACTCATCATAGCTACAGCACGTTATCACACAGTTTGAGGAAGAAATATCTGTAAAAACAGGAGTAGAAGTATCTATAAAGGATATCTATCTGACAGAGATTCATTAAAAAGCATAATTATATGTGTCTTCATTAAGAGCAAACTGCAGAAGAAAGATACAGTAGGAAAAGTATTATATTTTTAAAGCATCTCCTTTATAGAACTGCGGGGGAAAAAGTACTCTGCAATTTTAATACTGCTTTGCCTTCAATAAATATAGAAGTTTTCACTGAAATAAATGAAAACATCCATTGTGTTCTCTTTGATTCATTGGTAACCAAAGGTACTACCTAATTTGCAATATGATGATTTGGAGTACTGACAATCATTCACAAAGATTATTTGGTTTTAGTACATTTTGTCTAGTGAGAGGAGGCAAGAGCTTTGCTGCAGCAGTTCATCATGTGGCATAACTACCATCAACATGTATGAAGTAAATTTAGTGAATATAGAAACAGATGGGAATTAACTGTACCACCCCTATTAAAACTTCATTCTTCATTGTTACCATACCAGTGTCTGCAGACACTGATGGAGACCAGTATCTAGCATTTCAAGCCCTGACAAACTTTAAGAAATAAAGGCCAGCCATGCCTTTAGAAATTTTCAAGGCTTTAGATAAAAATGAGTCAAGAAATAGGAGTGAAAGGTAGGGAGAGAAACATCTCTTTGCTGAAGCAATCCAGTAGCACAGTGCATGGGGGATGGAGCCCTGTTTGCCTGCTTGCACCCTGGGCTGCGTGAGCAGGGGGTGTGCAGCAGAGCAGGGAGCAGTGGGATGACAGCAGTCAAGGCAAGAGGCTGGGAGCAGAAACACCTGCTGAGGAGCAGTGTGCCAGCCTGTTCACATCTCCCAGCTCCACACATTAGACAGAGATTGTCCGTGAATTTGGACAACCGGTTGTATCCAGCATGTGAGCTCACGGAGGTGAAAAAAAAGAGATGAAAAAAGAGAGGCAAAGAACATCCTAACACATCCATTCTTAATGAAAGTTAACAAAGGGTGTCCTTAGATAAATCCTTTCCTCTTAGTTTTGTGGTCAATGTGGTTAGCATGGTGTGGTTTCAGTAGTCTGAGTAGCTGCCAATCTAATCATATTTCAGAGAACTCCCTGGAGTACACATACATCAGACAGAAATAATGGAACTGAAAAACTACAGGCTTAATGAAAAATTTAGCAGTCTAGGGGGAGACAGAAAAAGGCAGATTGGAATGGAATTAAAATTGAAGCAAATTCTAAGGTAGCTTTTAGCTACTACCATGTAACTGCTATGCTAGTACTAATATTTATGCAAAATGTCTGTATCACATTTTCAGTTCCCTTAGTAAACAATAACTTTTCAGAAAACGGTAACAACTATGAAGATCTGGACAATATGCCATAATAGTTATGATAAGGGTATAACTCTAGTGTTTTCCAGAAATTATTATTTAGTATGAATCTTTAAACTTCTTTAAACTTTTTTTTTTTCCCTTTCATGCCTTTCAACAGATAGACATCAAGTTAGTGGAGGGAGATAACACTGACACACAACCTGCTACACACACTTTCTGTTGGCAGGTCTTTTTCTATTTGGACAGAAGAATAAAATAAATGAGTCCTTGACAAGTAGTTACAGATACTAAATGGGAGATATGGTAAGGTGGTTTAAGCTGCGGCTGAAAATGGGGAGCTATCATACGTGCTACTGAGTAGCACTCAGATAATTATTGAAAAGTAGTCTCAGCAGGAGAACCATTTGTAAATATTTACTACACTGTCTTTGCTACTATTCTTCAGGAACCTCTCACATGGAAAACCAGAGATGTGTGAAATCTGCTTTTTGTGGTTTGATTAAAGCCACTGCATAAACTCCCTTTGGTGAATCTAATTTTCAGTACACACTGTTGCCCTCCTCATAAGCCTTTAGCAAAACAACACTTGATATTTCACATTTGCAGAGCTACCCAATGGCTAACATACCTCAAGTAAACCCTGTAAATATTACACAGTTAACAAGGAAACAGGTTAACTTCAGTTTGCTTTTCTCATGGATTCTCTCCACATGGCTTAATCTGACAGAAAGAAGAGCCTCGGACCCAACAAGTACTCAAGTTACAGCTGTGGCTTGATGCTTAGCTGTCATACAAATATTGCATATTATTATTGGAATCTTATTGGGATGGAAATTTTCAAAATATAATTCCATGCACAGGTGAGGCTTAACTACCACAAAGCTTGCAGAACATGGGCAGCAACTAGAAAAACCTCCTAAGGACGGGTAAATTGTTGTGTCTTTTGTTTCCTCTGCTATTAAGTAAAAAGAGACTATACTAATCCCAGTTAACAATATAGAAAACACTAAATTTTCCCTTTATATTAAATAAATGTTTTTATTGCAGTAGTTCATAATCTCAGTGTTTCAGCTAAATTAGAAGTGGTTAGAGAGTCCAAACTTCTCTTTTACTAAATACATTTCCATCCCTCTATATTATTTGAAATACCTAGGCAATATATATGTACCCATCATTTTGTCTGACACCCTCTTTTGAACGATGAGTTACTATTTTTCTGACTAACTCAATAATCAATCGGAGGAATATCAAATATTTAATGATTTTAAAAGCTCATTTAAAGGAGCAGGTAAATACACAACCAGCCTACTTGAGAATATAAAGAATTTGATTCAGGTTATTATGCTACCTTTTACTGTCTTCTCAAGAAAAGACTGGAAGAGTTTTCTTCTGCCAACGGAAAAGAATAAATCATCAATATTTTTAAAGTGTTTTGAAATCATGTAATACTCAAATGAGTATTCTGCAATGTCAGCATCATAATCAAACTAGTACTCACATTTAGATGAAGTTGGTTAGTCCACTGACCAATTACTTTGTATTCTGTACTCTTGTTGGTGATTTGATACTGGAAAATATCATAGCGTCCAGGAGCATCTCCATTTTCATTGAAGATAACAGGTGTTCCAGCACTCCCTGAAAAAAAAATAAAAAGAAATTAGAATAAATATCTTTAAAGCAATTTTTCAGGAAATATATTTTGGAGAAAAAATATTAATTAGGGATTGAGCAGGTTCTTCATAGGGGAAGGTTAGTAAAAAAAAAAACAACCTCACAAAGAGAAAATGTGTTATTATCATCATCATCACAAATCTACCCTATCTATTAATTAATTAAAACAATTTAAAAATATAATCTTTTTCAATCTTTTTGTTTAGTTTGTTGGTTGGTTGGGTTTTTCCTGTGTGTTTTACAGAGCATTAGGAAATTCTGTAATAAAACTGAAGTGGAGAAAATCCTTCTGACTTGCAGAAGGGCACAATTTCACTTTAGGATGTGAATACAGTGCAGTAGACACAAAATAGCCATCTTGTAATGAACTTCATAAAAAATCTCCGTTAAGTATGAAAATAAAATCAGTATCATCAACTTAGGAGCCAACACTCATAAAAGGATTTGAGATGCAAGTGTCTAAAGCCTGTCACAGTTAAAGCAATCAGTTTCTAGCACTGACCACCTGTGTAAAAGCGTTTTATCAAAATAAATTAAGGATAGCAGCTGTGCTCGTTGCTCTCTCCTCTATACATGACACTGCCTGGCAGAAATGGCTACTGCTGAAGCTGTCAAAAGTTATAAATCGACACTTTGTTCTTACTTCGACCAACAAAATGTTCAAAGATTGAAAACTACACATCTACCTTGGCAACCAGGCCAGACAAATTAGAACACGTTTTGATTAATTCCTTCAAGGTGACATCAAGGATCTGCAGTCCTACACAGATTTTTCAAAAACTTCACAAAGAATGTCATTTCTACCCATTCCCCGAGTTCATATGTATAGGTGAATCATAGTTATAGTTGAGGACCACTGAAGACAAATTCAAGTATGTTAAAGTTATATTTCAGTAACCGGAGAATGAAATCTGTCTTTACCAGGGAAAAAACCCAAACCACTGCAAAACCCACCCCGCAATGTTTTCACATTTCTCCATATGAACAACCCAGAAAAGGAGACTATCCAGTTCATAGTAAATTTCTATAGTATAAGACTTGTTAACGTAGCACTTAGAGGCACTAAAAATCAACTGTGAGTGGTTTCCAGACATTGACAAAAAAAGCTTGAAATTCTGGGTATATATGGACCAGATGATCTCCTGAGGTCCCTTCCAACAACCCCTACGATTCTGTGATCAAGCAGAAGCTAGCCGGTAGAAGTGGGAACAGCAACCTACATACTCCAGAATTTCAGCATAAATACTTCTTGTTGTATGTCTGTCTGTCTTCCACAAAGTATTTTATTCTCCTGTTTTGTATAGCAGCTTTCATATAAAATTGATATCCAGTGAAATAAACAGTGCTTATTTTTGAGAGTGACAAGTGATAAATTAACTACTGTGCCAATTTCATAGTTCTGCCAGCTAAAGTCTGGTTGCAAAAATTAAATGTGAGCAACCATGGAAAAGGAGTTTGAAAAAATTATGTGTGATAAAGACTTAAGACCCCATGAAGACACAAGAAACTCAACACAAAATTTTGGTAATCTCTTTGTGCTTTGCTCCTAATTCATTTGACAGAATGAAGGGCAAGAAAAATGCCCATCTCCAATCTTCCAAGCAATGAAATTATTCTTCACTGCTCAAATAGCAGGTTGATCCAATAAATTTCTTCCACCCAATAAACACATCCTCAACTGTTGTTGGTAGGTAGGTATGGAGGTAACCTTCAAAATATTACTCTCAAGTAATGATGGAATTCATCTTTCCACTCAGCAGCATTTGAAGAGCTCATGGAAAGAACTGATATCTTTTACGAACAGATACAAAATGTCTTTTGTATCCCTTAAGACCAATGGGAACTTCAGATGTTCTTAAGCTCAGCAATAACAGTGTAAGCTTATAATCTATTGCTGGTTTTAGAAAAATCATGTACAAAGAGACAGACTGTAATACAGGCCAGAACCATCTTTCTCTTTGAGGTAGTCATGTTCTCAGCTAGAGTGTAACAGCATCTCACGCTGTGCACCCCAGTCAACAGGGA